GGGGGGGGGGGGGGGGGACAATCAAAGAAGTAGTTTCAAAGTTCGACTTCCGTTTCGCGCAGACGGAAGTCGAACTTTGAAATGCTTTCCTAATATTTTACGAACCTTGCGTCTAGTGAAAGGAGATGTACTTCGACCAGGCGCCGAGTGCTGCTCGACCATCTCTACTTTTTCTTTCTTTTTGCAGAGCTTACATTGAATCCCATTCTCTTCCATTATGTACATACCTTTTACAGAGGCATCGATCATACAAGGAAAAGATCTGACATTTTGTCTGTCGTTGATGCAGCACGCTATTTCTCCACCAGCTGGAAAGCACAGCACTGCACCGCTGGCCAACACCTCAACACTAGCCACGTCATTCATCAGAGGTGCTCAGCACGGTTGGTTATACTGTAAAAGAAATTGACCTGTAAAAAAGAATTGCGCTATTTATAGCTTCCTTTATTTCACCCATCTCTCAGGAAAGACTGGCATACCATCAAAATTCTAGGTGATGCAAGACACTCCGAGTAGAGTTGAGAGTTTGAAAACCCAGATCCAGGTCTCGCACTCATCCAACTCTCAAATCATTCTCATACAGACGCTGCAGGAACTATTTGTTCTCACAACAAAAAAATTACCAGGGCCTTCCATCACTAAGTTGAGCACTGGGTTTTCAGATGAAATAATGCAAAGTGATTTAAAGCATTGTTAGAATCTGAAAAAAGGTAGAGCCTTTATCTGGCGGTTTCCGCATTACTCCAAGTGCATAAATCTTCCCACCGCCGGAGCCATAAAATATATCACTGATGATGCTTTGTAGCTGGGCGGATCTTGGGACGGTGATATGATCCTTTTGAACAGGACCTCAGAACCCTCATCTCTATGCCCATAAGAGTATACGCACCAAATGCTTGTACAGCAACTACAGACAGCATTCGTTTATCGGCTTCCTGGCCATTCGAAATTTGAGCGGAATTTTACTACAAATCGGAGGGTATGATGCAAAGCCAAGATATTCCAGGATAAAGCTTTTCTAGACCACCATGCTAAAGACTTATCCCATTGCTAGTTGAGAAACCGCTCCCAACGTTTTCGATAGTTCCTGCCTTTAAGGGTGTGCTTCATCTACCTTCATCAGTCCTCATCCATATCATGTCACCCACGAAAAGTGTCCAATGTCAAGAAGCCATCCAGCCATTGCTCATATTCTTCCTGAGTTCCTAGGTGTAGATTTGAAGCAACCGGACTTATAAATTTTCACTCAAATAACCACAACTTACTTGTAAATGCTTTGGCTTGTATTATACTTTTTTAAAATGGATAAATTCAAATTGTCTTCGAAGCACTTCCCCCACGTAGCTTTGTACGCTCTTTTTTCAGACATATCCGGGAGGCAAGGCTCCGTGTCCGTCACTGATCGCGGGCACTCAGCAACCGTCTCAACTTTACGCATTGTACGGGACAGCGTTTCACAGTGCATATACCTAGGTAGTGTACTTCCTTTTCAGTTTTCTTATTTGTTTGTTTATTAATGGTGAAATAAAGCGCTTGTCTATTTTCAGCCCTCAAAGTGATGATGCTTTGTTTTGGAAAGTTGCTCACTCCGATGTGGCCACGTGTAGCTCGTCTCGTTAAAGGTTCCTTTGATTTTTGGACAATCATTAAAAACGTGATCAATTGTTATTTGAATATACCGAATCTCCCCAGTCGATATAATTATCGTGGTTACCTGGACTTCTTGGAAGACCATAATTCTGAATCGAGTACCAAGCCATATTCATATCAACTGCGAAGCTGTGTCTGGATATGAATCGGATCATGGGCTAAACGTTTTCTCGTTACGTAGTATGACATTTTTTTCGAAAGCTATTAATAAACTATCAATGAGAAACTTTTGGCATTCAATTCCATTTGTTCTTTCGCTTTTATGCCATTGCGTGGCATGCTTTGTGTATTTTTTACGGAATACTCTTCTGATTCCACTTCCACATTGGAGGAGCCATTTTAGAAGCAGTCCCGGTGAATTACGCAGTCGACTCTGAATTTTACACCACTCAAATTTTTCAAGCTTGTTTCCGGTAGGATAGTAATGGGTCAGTTGCTCCAAACAGAATCAATGTACGGAATAGACTGGACTCTAGTTGTAGAGGGTCCACTGATGAGGCTAAGCGGTCATGCCCACTTTTCCTTAATCTCCCTAACTGTAACTAACTTTCAGCAAAGCTATATGGGAATATTCTCTTTGTTTTTTGCTTGAGAGGTTGTATTTTTTCCCAACCGGTGTATGTTAAACAGTTTCCCAAGCAGTTTACGAAAATTTTCTCTCTCAGTGTTTTGAGCGGGATAAAAACTCCTCCAGCCGAAACT